AAAAAAAAGGTTGCCATCCTCTGGGATTTTCTCCTATGCCGTGGGTGCGTTTAAAATCATACAATTCCACATACCTACACATCACACACAGACCGTGCGGGAATCGAAACCACGATGGCTGACGCATTGACACATCGCGCCAACTTTGCTGTCAACTAACATAGTAGTAAACAATATGATCATGTATCCTGTAAATACCATATTATAAGCGCAATAAGATACCACAGCCTCGACCTAGAGCAGGAGAAAGAACGGGGGTTTTTAGTCAGTAAGAGTCTGACACTCCCTCTCGCGTAATCTTCTGCGAGAGAAGACATTTGATGATTTTCCCCTAAAAAAAAGTCAAAGTCAAAGTCAAAATCATTTATGCTAACTAAACTATTTTGACGTTTCAAATGTACCTATATATGATAGGTACATTTGAAACGTCAAAATAGAAAAGTAGTCTGTCAGTCTGTTCGTCAGTGAAGCTAGGTGCTCATTCCAAATTGTAGATTCGAATGGAGAAGAACGAGCAAGAAACTACATCGTTACTTTTTTTTTAAATATGTATCTTTTACGATTTCACTATTTAGTATACATTATTGTACTCTTATGTGGGAACAATGCAGAGACAAGTTGTAAAAAAAAAGAACAAATTCTGGGATCAATAATAAAATTTTAATTCTTTATCGTCTCGAACATGGCGCTCACATATGCGTAGGTACTCAAAATCTTTAAGAGTGCGTCTATATAAACTCTTTGGATATATAAGTTAAGGATTCATTCATTTTGAATCAAAACCAGATACGGCGCTAAAGTTCGGATAAGTGATCCGCAAACTTTCACCGATAGTTCCTTAAGGTCCTCAGTTGATTTGACCTTGATTTCTTTAAAAACCTTTATTATCTCTAAAGAATGAGCCGTTGTTTTGATATTAGCAAAAAAAAACTCCTGAGCTACATCTGTGCTTGACGAAATCTGTCCCCTTTCAGTGTTTAGGCAAAATTCCGAATGTTTTAATCTGTTCTTACCTGTCTCATTCTGTATTAGTTTCCACGTAGTCTTTATCTTATCATCAGCTGATTTTATTTTATTACTGATGAAAAGACGCTTTGCGGTTTTACATACTATTCTAAATGTCTTTGAATTCAATTTTACACGTTGATGAAAAAGGGCGCAAAAATTTTTCGTTTAACCTACTCGGATTACTTATATCAAAATTTTCTATACTTAATTTAGTTGCTAATGAATCATTGAGTTTCTCTAAATTTTTATTTGTAATATGTCTAAACTTTATTTGAATTTTTTGTAGAGGCAAATAAGAGCTGTAAGTGACCACAAGTCCACTGTGGTCAGAAGTTTTTACAGTTACTGAAAATGTTATCAATACATACCTATTGCTGTGGAGGGTGTTATCCTAGTCGGTTCTAGAAAATATTTTTTTAAATTAAATGATCCAAACAAATTTAATAGCTCCATGCCACTTGTATTGTTCTCCAATAAATTAATATTAATATCGCCACATAGAAGTACTGATTTATGGCTAGAACATACTTTCCTTAAAACATCTTCCATTACAGAATCAAACAATGCAAGATTCTGATAATTAGGTGGTCTATAAACACAAACAACAACATGTCTATCCAGCTCAACACAGGACAACTCAATAGTGTGTTCTACTGACAGTGCTACAATATCTTTCCTTTCTTTGGACTTAATGCCGTTTTAAAATAAATTAAGGATCCACCATGTAACATATACCGTCTACTAAAATTACTTATTACAATATAATTAGCATCATAAATCAATATCTTTATAATATCAATAGCTTTATAATAGTAGAAGTATATACTATATATAAATTTTGCGTTACAGAAACTCGACTTGGAACAACACTTACGTTCTATCTCATCGCGGGAGTGAGTACACCATGAAATATAGGGGATTTGGAGTTTGAAAAAAATAACACATTCTCCATCCTCCCATTGTATTTCCCCTAAAAGTTGGCAACCTTTTGTAAATTTTCCATGCAAAAAAGCCAACAGCAAAGAAGTGACATCAGCTCAATAAACATTTAAAATAAAATAAATATTTAATCTGTTTTAATGATAATTATAAAACAGCAAAAGTTTGTTTGCTTGAAGCTCCGAACTAGTGTACCACTAGTTCTGGAGCTGAATTGAATAGTTCTGTGTATTTGATAGTTCATTTATCGGGGAAGGAATACTAAGAACATCCCAACACTAATAGGTCAAGCAGCGGGTGGAACTGCACGAGAGTAGCTAGTAATATACGTGCGTCAAGTGTGTGTGAACCTAGCTAATCATTGTACAGCAGATCAAAAATAAAAGAGAGTTCTTTTCGCATGCAGCTGAGTTCTACAGTTCCTGATAGTTTTTAGCAATAGTTCTAACGTTTTTACCTTGAAAAAAGCCGATTGCCGAAATGATCTGCTAACTTCCCGTAGCAGATCATTTGACAGCAAATCAAAAATAAATGCCAGTTCTTGTCGGATGCAGCTTAGTTCTATAGTTCCTGATAGTTTTTAGTAATAGTTCTGACGTTTTCACCTTGAAAAACGCCGATTGACGAACTGAACTTCCCGTAGCAGATCATACGACATCAGATCAGAAAGAAATGCGAGTTCCTTTCGCATGCAGTTGAGTTCTACTGTTCCTGATAGTTTTCAGCAATAGTTCTGACGTTTTTACCTCAGAACATATTTATCGACAGAAAAAGGTACTAACTTCTCGTAATAGATCATTTTGCTGAAGATTACAAGATACAGATAAGAGAGTTCTAACACGAATTCATAGTCTGCCAGCACAACACCGTGTGTTCTCGACTCGAATCGAGTTCTGTGTTCTCTGTTGGAGTTCTGATATAAATTCATAAGAACCGAAAGAGTTCTAGCCTTTAGCAAGTATTTGAATGGATGAAAGATGAATTATTTGACTTTTAAACAATTTACCATGATCTGCTAGCACCGGAACGTGAGTTCTGGACTCGAATCGAGTTGTATGTTGGAGTTCTGATACAAATTCATAAGAAACGAAAGAGTTCTAGCCTTTAGCAATAGATCCAAAAGAGTTCTAGCCTTTGGCAATATTTGAAAACATGAAAAATGAATTTTTCGACTTTTAAACAATCTACCATGATCTGCTAGCACCGGAACGTGAGTTCTGGACTCGAATCGAGTTGTATGTTGGAGTTCTAATACAAATTCATAAGAAACGAAAGAGTTCTTTCAAACATACAAATCGATTCGAGTCGAGAACTCACGTTCCAGTGCTAGCAGATCATGGTAAATTGTTTAAAAGTCGAATGATTCATCTTTCATCCATCCAAATAATTGCTAAATGCTAGAACTCTTTCGTTTCTTATGAATTTGTATCAGAACTCCAACATACAACTCGATTCGAGTCGAGAACTCACGTTCCAGTGCTAGCAGATCATGGTAAATTGTTTAAAAGTCGAATGATTCATCTTTCATCCATCCAAATAATTGCTAAATGCTAGAACTCTTTCGTTTCTTATGAATTTGTATCAGAACTCCAACATACAACTCGATTCGAGTCCAGAACTCACGTTCCAGTGCTAGCAGATCATGGTAAATTGTTTAAAAGTCGAATGATTCATCTTTCATCCATCCAAATAATTGCTAAATGCTAGAACTCTTTCGTTTCTTATGAATTTGTATCAGAACTCCAACATACAACTCGATTCGAGTCCAGAACTCACGTTCCAGTGCTAGCAGATCATGGTAAATTGTTTAAAAGTCGAATGATTCATCTTTCATCCATCCAAATAATTGCTAAATGCTAGAACTCTTTCGTTTCTTATGAATTTGTATCAGAACTCCAACATACAACTCGATTCGAGTCGAGAACTCACGTTCCGTTGCTAGCAGATCATGGTAAATTGTTTAAAAGTCAAATAATTCATCTTTCATCCATTCAAATACTTGCTAAAGGCTAGAACTCTTTCGGTTCTTATGAATTTATATCAGAACTCCAACAGAGAACACAGAACTCGATTCGAGTCGAGAACACACGGTGTTGTGCTGGCAGACTATGAATTCGTATTAGAACTCTCTTATCTGTATCTTGTAATCTTCAGCAAAATGATCTATTACGAGAAGTTAGTACCTTTTTCTGTCGATAAATATGTTCTGAGGTAAAAACGTCAGAACTATTGCTGAAAACTATCAGGAACAGTAGAACTCAACTGCATGCGAAAGGAACTCGCATTTCTTTCTGATCTGATGTCGTATGATCTGCTACGGGAAGTTCAGTTCGTCAATCGGCGTTTTTCAAGGTGAAAACGTCAGAACTATTACTAAAAACTATCAGGAACTATAGAACTAAGCTGCATCCGACAAGAACTGGCATTTATTTTTGATTTGCTGTCAAATGATCTGCTACGGGAAGTTAGCAGATCATTTCGGCAATCGGCTTTTTTCAAGGTAAAAACGTTAGAACTATTGCTAAAAACTATCAGGAACTGTAGAACTCAGCTGCATGCGAAAAGAACTCTCTTTTATTTTTGATCTGCTGTACAATGATTAGCTAGGTTCACACACACGTGCGTCAACGGCGCAGGACGTTTTCTGAAACAAACAAACAAACACACACAAACAAACAAACACACACACACACACACACACACACACACGGGGAGGTAGTATTAATTTATTTCCATTATTCTAAGTTACATAGTGATATAGTATTTTTCTAAGTTTTTTATTTCTTAGATAAAATCGTTCGTGACATCGGTGTATTTATAATTTTATCACTTTGCATGTTATAAAATTATGATTCATCGTTGAAGTTACGAGTCACCAGTCATTGTAACTCACGCTAACCAGCTTGCACAAAGTGCATGCTGTGCTTACCGTTTTTTTTTTTGGTATCGGGTTGGAAAATCCTCATGGAGACCCACCGCCCTCGGGGTAAGGGCGAAGGGTACTGTCAGACTCTTACTGACTAAAAACCAACCCGGTGTTCCTCCAATAACCCATGTGTCGGAGGGGCGGGTATCGCCGAAGCATTCGTCGCAACCCCCCAACGGGTATTGGCCCGCCAGATGGTAAGGCGGGCCCCGTCACCCACTGCGGCCGTCACCCCGACCGCAGGACTCCACTATGAGGCGCGCGCGGAACACGGCACCGCCGCCTCGAGGCCTGCTGCTGGTCGGACGACTAGGCGCCCCGAGTCTGTCGTCCGCAGGCCGCGCCCTACGGTGGCCGCAGGTCGGCCACTCTACGACGTCTAGTGCGTCTGCTGCGGGAGGGAAGAGAGGAGGCAGCCTCTCTCTCCCTTTCCGCCGCTTCCTTTGCGAGCATCACGGCCTCGCAAAAGATAGCGACGGCACTCCACCCTGACTCGCTCCCGACCATAGCAGACACTACAGCCGGAAGCGAGAGATTTCCCGCAGCACCTACGGCCGCGACCAGGTCACGGCGCTGCTCGGCCCAAGCTTGACTTGCAGCGCCGTATCGTCGCGGCAATTACCACAATGGTGGCACTGAGACGTCGGCTCCCGGCCTATGCGACACAGGTACTTCCCGAAACACCCGTGTCCGGTAAGCACCTGCGTCAGCCGGAAGCTGAGGGCGCCGTGGCTCCTATTGAGCCACTCCTGTAGAATTGGCCTTACCGCCGCTATAGCGGCGTGCCCCAACGTGGGATGCACTAAACGCGTCTGCCACTCCACCACTAAGGCCTGGCGGAGTTCTGCCCTTCGTGCCTCAACCTGTCGAGGCACCAGGCACTCGCCCCGCTCGACTGCCTCCGCACGCCACCAATAGAGTGATGCGAGGAGCTTTGCGTCGAGGTCCCAGGGCGGGGATCCGGCTAGGAGGCTCGCTGCCTCAAAGGAGATCGTACGGTATCCCCTTATTATCCTGACGGCCATCGCGCGCTGTGGCCTTCGCAGCGCGGCGATGTTGCGAGCCGTCAGGGCGTCCGCCCACACTGGCGCGGCGTATAACGCCATCGACCGTACGACCCCCATGTAGAGCCTCCGGGAGGAGTAGATGCCCCCCCCCTATGCTGTGCTTCCATATTAAAACACTGATGATGGTTGTCTTATTGGATCAGTGTAAAAATTGATTACTGAGCTAAAAATATTTATTAAGAAAAATAAAATAAAACATTAATGCCGAGTTATTCTGATGCCATTTTGGTTTTATATACTATTAAATGTTTTGCATCTCATTAACTGCCCATATTTGTTGTTAATACGATTATTTTTTTCTTTTAATCTAAATTCTGGCAGGTTCGTTGCATCGACAGAATGTGGGGAAATATCAACAGCAAAATGCAGGATGTTTCCTCAACCTAATGCGTCGATTGTCGAGTGGTCGCCAGCGCTACTGCCATGCAACTACTTTTATTCAATATACCTAATCATTTCAATCCTGTATTATCTTCTCTCTAAAATTGGGCAAAATGAAGTCAGGGGACCAAAAGGTTCGGTTTTAAGACAGTTTTTTTTTATGAAAACTAAAACAGTCCATTTACCAGTTAATAAGAAATAGGTAATAACATAACATTTTACAATCAAATTAATTTAGGTACATCTGGCATGTGTTTATGAATTTATGATATTATTACATTATACATTATAAATATTTAATATAATTTAATAAATATAAATTAAAATTTTCCTTTCGATGATAACCAAATAACAAATAAATTAAATTTTAATAATAATTTAAGTACATAATAATAGTTTTCTAATATATATAAATCAAATATACAGACAGTAGTTTATCAAAATAAACAGTTTTTAAGTAAGAAGTCAATAAAATTCCAATAAATATCAACCCGTCGGCCACTTCCTCGCGCAATTCATCTAGGATCTTTATATCTTGCGACATAGCCTGCTCATTTCCATTTTAATTGTAGTGCATTCGTTAGAGCGTCTGTCGCTTTGGTAGTCTATTATAGTATGTTTTACTTTATTTATATTCTTTATGCTGAGCCTGCTTCTCTCTAGCTCTGTTTAACAGGAATTGTTTTTATGCGTAGCTTCAGAGGTGAATTACAACTTCTGATAAGTTGGCAAACCAGCACATAGATTACCAGATAGTAAGCAATCTGCGCCGCCCATGGACACCCGCAACAACAGAGGAATAACGAGCGCGTTGCCGACCTTTTGGGGATTAGGGATTTGAAGATTTAGGAGTGGGATTGACAACATGATAAGAGGCTCGAGTTCATGACGATTGTTTTTATTTCTATCGGCATATTACTTTTAAATATTTCTCTTATTTTCTAATATTTATTCCACGTAGAATGTACGCGGCTTCTTTCTCAGCGATATCGCTGTTTTTGTCAAAACTAAGCAATTTTTCCAAATAAATGTCGTTTTATCGTGTTCTAGTGGCTCACCATTGATAATTATGGGTTTTACCAGCTTAATTATATATTTTTATAACAAGTGTTAAATTAAAATACATAAATATCTACAGAATCACAGTCTGTTTGGGGAAATGGTTTCATATTTATACGAGGTCGCTGCGACTCGAGGCACAGTGACAAGTTTGTAGAATACAAGATTGGAAGTCAGTATGATGCGGCTCTCAGTTTTAATATCATTTTTGTTTCTGGTTGCCTCCGTCCACGCATTTCCAGGTATTTATCTCCTAAAATACACTCTCTTTTCTCCACTCTGACACCTTTCCGTTCCTCCTTAATAAATTCAGTACTCAGGGTAAAATATCTTTCAATATAATTTTTACCTATCTTTTTGTGGCATCCTATCACATGTTTTACACGTCCATACTTTTAATTGCTTCTCGTGCCTTGGAAGAAACGCGAGGGGAGTATCAGGCTCTTAATTAATAGTTTTTGCCCACTGTGTAAGTCCCAACTATGAGTGATGGTTTCCCTGAGCACCAGCATAAGCCAGTGTCGAACATGTATCAAATTCTACGAAGGGATTCTTACTTTCCTTTTGGTGAAAGGTATTTTGTAGAAAACAAACTCAATGCTTGACTTTTCATAAAAACTCTTGACTGTTAGGTTAGAAGTTTTATTTAACCTAGATACTTGTTTCGTGATTTAGAATAATGCCAAAACCCTAACCGCTATTGTAATACAAATTTTAGGAGTGCCATATTGGACTCAAATATTCCAGCCGACCACCAACAGTGTGGCAGGCAAAGCGGCGGCGCACAACAGATGCCAGCAGAATTCCTATAGAACTCGTCCTGCGTACCATGGTCACGGTAAGTTCTGTGCTCATCAGCACAAGAAAGCTGAAAAAGCAAATCAACAAAAATATTGTAGATTTGCTGTTTCAACTGACCTACTTAGTTTCCTACCATGTCGTCGCTTTAAAAGCTAGTGTTTAACTTTACGATCCTATGTAACCATTGGTAACAATTTTGGGTTTACGCAATAGACCTTGAAAGTAAAGTGTGCATGTTTCCGTGGCATATGTAAGTAAGTTTATGTTTAAATTTTTTTGAGACTTTATACTGTCTGAGAATACCCCCGATCTTTCTCCAGCTCCAGGCCGAGGCCTGGCTGGTGTACTCGTATATGTTTAGATGGTGTGTCAAAAGTGCAGAACAGTTTCATAGAAGTTAAATTTGAAATTAGTCACAATAAGTTATTATTAGTCACTACGGTCGAGTTGCAGCAAGCGCAACTAACAATTTAGCAAGGGTAGCTCACTGCCCCATTAGAAATAGCTCCCAAGATACATTAAATAATCATTAGACGAACTTAGAGGGGTGCATGCCTGCACAGGTCGCGGCCGTCTTATAAGGACCATACCATGAACCATCATACATTGCACCTGCCTAAAGTATTTGGGCTGCCCAAGCATTAAAAAAATGCCCTCTGCATCCTTCAACCTGATTGCTAACTTAAGGCTATCAAATTTCAGGTGCTTTTTGGTGGATTCCACTATTCCAGCCCTCACCAAACACCATATGTAACCCCAGCAAATCAGCGGCGTACGTCAGTGGCAAGACAAATTCTGTTTCAACTCCTACTCCGAACGTGGACCACGGTAACTTTTAGTCTCACATCTATAACTAGCTTTTGCCCGCGACTCCGTTCGTGTGGAATACTTCCTACAGATTTTTGGTATTAAAACTATCATATATCCTTTGTCGAGTTCCAAACTATGTCTGTACCAAATTTCACAGAAATTGGTTCAGTATTTTAGGCGTGAAGAAAGGACAGACAGATTTACTTTCACATTTATAATATGATTTTGAATTTTGGATTGTTATTTGTAATCTTAGCCATCTAGAATATAAGGTGCACCTTGGCTATAACACACACGGGTAAACACACGAACAATTTTTTTTATAGAGTAGCTATAACTTGTGCCGTACTTGCTATTGTACAAAAATTGGTTATTGGTATCAAAAAGAAATATCTATAAAATATACTCTTTGTTAAAGAGCTTGTTCAGAATGAACCTGATCTCCAAATGATATTGAACTAAAACTAATTAACTCTCAAACTCTAAAACAAATTAACTCAATTCACACCAACAATAATAACATAGAGTCAACCCATATAAACATTTGTATACGATTACTATTTTGGCTTCTGGATGAGAACGCCTCCAGGGGAAGACAACATCAGTAACGTAATAATAACGATGACTAGTTGGTATTCAACCCTCAGCCCAAATCATATCACAATAGGTTACATGCCTGTGAAACAGTGCAAGACAACCATAATTCCGATACACTTAAAGGAGAAGACAAAAGCAAGCTGAGAAATTGTCGTCCAATCAACAATGTCCAATATCTACTGGATCACTTCAAAGATCTAAATTGCTTGACAGTAATTCCAAGTTCTAGACGGCAACCAACCAGCGAAAAGGCTCCAAAAGGCTACTGCACCAACTTATATATGTGTTTTTTAGATTTCACCAAAGCTTTTGACTCTTCTAATTCATGAATCTATATAAAAAAACAGTAGAACATTAGGCCGTTACAATAGGGGGCAATACTTATTTCACATGCAAAGCTGAAGTATACCTAGAAATCAAAGGATACATGTGTCTTAAATAGCCATGGATTGCATATTTTTAAATGGTGGTTAGCGAAGTAGAAAACGTGCCCTCTGTATCCATCAAATTGAGTGCTGGTCGCTGTCAATGAATGCCAAAATCCTAACAGTTATCGAACAAATTTCAGGTGCTTTATGGTGGACTGGACTCTTCAAGCAACAGGGGACCACGATGCGTAACCCTAGTGAAGCTACAGTGCACGTCGGCAACCATGAAAATTCCGTTACAACTTCTGTTCCAAGCCATAGTGACGGTAATTTTGTACTTTTGTCTACTGCTGTTATTTGACAGTCTCAGCCCTTTTGGATAAACAATGGACACCAATCAATGTTTCCCGATGTCCTGGGTGCAAACAATGGACAGAAATCAATGTTTCCCGAGCCAATTGATTGTTGCCATGCTACATGACAACAATAGTAAGTAGGTATAGTATGAATCAAATGCCTCGCAAAGAACATGGTGGTCGTCTCCCATCTGGAGCACGGCCCTGACACAGCACGATGTAACAGTTCAATCAATACTTAAAATGTTATGAAACCATCTTCTTTTTAGAGAGAATTTTAGAGTTACACTATATTCGACATACCTACATCAAGTCGTACAAATATTTAATGACAATCAAATGCGCAGGACTGTGGAATATTGGTGGCCATATCGAAGGTGGTATTGGTAATGGAGGAGCTGGTGGCACTAATGGAAGTGCTGGTGGAAATGGTGGAACGTTTAATTTCAACGGTAAGGCGTTTGAAATTCTTTATGCGTGAATTAACCTAAGTGTTGCCCAAAATGGGGACATGGTGTAAACCTTATTATTAAACCAACTTCTTACATTTCATTGATGTATTTTAGAGGCATTGGTACTTACCATTTTAGGTGTTAGATGTGCACAACATGGGGAAGATGGAGTAGAAGGGTGTAATCTTGACTCAGTTTTAGTTCAATACGGTAGTGTCCAACTAGTCAAATTGAATACTTTTAACCAAATGTGAAAAACGATATTTTGTATTAAATTTGTATGAAAAACTGAGTTATGACGTCATAGTATTTTTGCGTCAAATACTTAGCTTACTTATTTTTTAATAATTAGCTACGAAATATCTAAAACTTAGTGTATCGATTGATCGATTAATAAAGTACTTATAGTTATTTTTCAATATTTTTTTGTAATGTCGAATTAATTATGATTTAACCTTAAGTAAGTTTTTATTTAAGTTCGTTAAATCATCCTACTAATAAGAGATAGTTAGTATTTTCAATAAATTCACTATGTTTGTATGTTATGTAAGTTACTATTCAAAGATTAACATTAGAATATTAGAATATCATTTATTTGTTTGTTTCACATAGGTACACTACCATTGCTGGTGTAGAAATATTTAGATAATCATGCTTTAAAAAGAAAAAACAATGTAATTATAATAATGTCAAGCAAATTGATGACAAAAAATTTAAAAAAAATGTATAAGTAAGTATATGATAGTAATTAGAAATAACAAAATGGTAAAATATTAATTATAATGTCAAGAGCTAAAATAACACTAATAATAAAATACAGTGTCAATACTCATGTCAAAAAAAGTATACTCTCACAATACTAAACTAAAATGCTAAACACAATATGAATCAATGTAAAAATACTAAATGTGTGTCAAATATTAAATAAAATGTCAAAACTTGTGATTTAAAAATTCATTATCAGAATAGAAACACATCTTTAGAAGCCAAGTAAACATTCGATTTTTAAACTTACTTATTGGTAACATTTTTAAAGTCAGGTGATAATTTATTATAAATTTTAATTGCCATACAATGTACATTATTGCTGTATAAATGCAATCCTTGTCTAGGTGCCTGTAGTTTTCCAGGATTTTTGTTATTTAACCTCACAGAGATCTGTTCATTTAAAGGAAATAAATGTGGGTACTTTTTTACAAAAAGACAAATTTCAAAAATGTATAAGCATGGCAGAGGAAGTATTTTTAGTTCCTTGAATAATGGTCTGCAATGATCTAAATATTCAGCGCCACTTATAGCTCTGAGACATTTATTTTGCCCGATAAAAGCTCTTTGCACATCAACTGAGTTGCCCCATATCACTAAACCGTATCGCAACACCGATGAAACATTACCGTGATAGGCGTTTAGAGATGTTTCTTTACTGGATACTAACCTAAGCTTTTTAGGGCAAACACAAACTTATCCAACTTGTTGCACACTCCTTCTATATGTTCTTTCCAGTTAAGTTTATTGTCAATTACAATACCTAAAAATAAGTGTAAGATGTCTGGGTGTTTGTTACTCTTATACTTTAAAACTACTGAATGGAATTTTTTTAGCAAACGGGTACTGATGGTATGTGATCAGCGCCACCCAGAGTATCTGTAACACCAGAGAAGTCACAGGCGCATTGTACACCACTAAAGTAGCAGTACGCTCATTTCTTGAAGGTTTAATGGTCGTCAAAGATTTCTTGTGCAAGGCAGAAAGTTTCTCGAAGTCGAATATATTTTGTAACCAGCTTTTGCCCACGATTTCGTTTGCGTGGAATAGTGACCTCCTGCAGATTTTTGGTATAAAACCTATCCTATGTCCTTTCTCAAATTCCAAACTATGTCGCTACCAAATTTCACAGAGATCGGTTCTGTAGTTTAGGCGTGAAAATAAGACAGATAGAGTTATGTACTTTCGAATTTATAATATTAGCATGGATTAGATTTTATGTCATGTTGTGCTGTTATGTGAACTCTAATGCAATAATGATATCGTTTTCAGGAAGCCGTACTATTATCTCACAAATAGTCAAATCATAAAAGGTAAGCATCACTCATCAAATGGAGTTTACTTACAATATAATAAATATAAAATAGGTGACTACTTCATACATACATCATCAGCCTAAAAGTACCCACCCACTGCTCAGCAAAGGCCTCTTCTCACACGGAGAAGGTTCGAGCATTAATGACCACGCTGCCCAAGGCGAATTGGCGATTTCAAACTTATAATTTTAAATTATAAGTCTTGTTTTACTCACGATCTTTTCCTACAACGTATGTTAGTGGTGTCTAAATAATCGTAGATAGCACATACATGTAATTCGGAAAATGTCACACGTGCGTGGTATGTGCCTGGTTTCGGACCCACATTTCATTTATAGACACGATCAGTGTCATCTTCTAGATGACACTGACGTTAACAGTTCTATTGTTACAATAATTAGTATGACTAATTAGAGATGATACAACATCCCCCTTGTTAAGTTTAAATTAACTCTTGTCACATCAGACTTAACACTATGGACAACTTGTCAATATTTTGTACGACCTATGACTTAACTACTTAATTTAGATTACAAAATATTCTTAATCTATTTCATCTATTATTAGCCTTCTTGTAGGCTTTACAATTCGACCTGAACGTGTAACAATTTGACTTTTTGAGGATCGAGATGAGAGTCCTTTATGTCCAGACTTTTCAGTCATAATCCTCTCTCCTCTGCGACGATGACGACGACGTAGACGAGTTGGATAGCATAGGAAGGAGAGTACTTATGCAATAACGCCCGGTTCCTATATTTAACGAATCGTCGTTGTATACCTACGCATTTCTATCCGTATTTTCAACTACCGACTACGAATCGTAGATAACGTTCCAAAAATCATTTTCTTTACGAACGTCCATTAGTAATTGTAATATCGAGGCTTCGTCATTGACAGATGAGCGTTTCGTTTTAAGTAAAATTGGAATTTAAAATAAATTCCAATTTTACATATTTACATGTAAATTAATCTTTTAGTTTTGTTGGACGTGTAGCTAAAACTATACCAGCGCAGGCATTTGCGTGATAATTTTCGTTTGAAACCAACTTATTAAGTCTTGTTTAAAATTAAATCGATACTACGCCAACAAAGTGCAAAACACAACAAAATATATGAAATGCGTAAGCTTCTACAAAGCAAAGGTAAAAATAATTCTATATAGGTATTATAGGTATATGGTAGATATAGGTATATGTATATGGGCCTTTGATGCCTGAAATAAATGGATAAAAAAAAATTAACAGTGTCTTCTGTACAATGGTCCATCTTCTGATTATATAAAAACCTATTTTTAAAATAACTATCGTGAGACATACTAAATTAACTAAAAATCGCGGGTTACTCACGTGTAAATTATTGAGAAAAGCTCTACTAATTTTGAACCACATAGGGGTTCTTCCTCATGAGCAGCGTGCGCGGACGCGGCATATGTAATAGGTAACAATATAATTGCATAATTATATTGTTACCTATTACATATTATTAAGTATGTCTCACGATAGTTATTATAAAAAAATACTAGGTACATAATCAGAAGTTGGACCATTGTACAGAAGACACATAAACACTGTTAATATAGAATTATTTTAAACCTTTGCTTTGTACAAGCTTACACATTCCATATATTACACGCGTACATAATTATGTTTAAACCATAATTATGCAAGCGTGTATAGTGAACACCTATTGTCTTTCCATTCTGTATAGAATTACAGTAAGTAGTCGAAACATTCAAAAATATGCTGATCAGTTTTCTCTATTACAGCCAAAAAGATTAAAATGAACCAGGATATCGGACGGCCAACTCAATTTGGGAAATGTAAGATACTATGACAAAAAGACAGAAAGGAGCAAATAAGGAAAATTTAGTTTTAAGTTTGAATAAATGACATTTTTTTTATTTAATTTGTTATTCAAATGGTATGGAGGCATTTAAATTGTTTTGTTTTTGTTTGTGCTATTTAGGATGTTTCAAACAGTTGTTGTTAAATAAAACAATTTATAAATTTGTTCGTTTTATTATATTTCATAACATTTATTAGAGAACTAATATTTAACAGTTCATTATTGCTCTTAAACTTGATATCATCATCCATTATCGTAAACTGAAAAATATAAAAAGCTTTGAAAATAACGATCTTAAACAAAAAAGGAAAAGGCATCTTGTATATGTACAGTTTAAGTAATATTTAATCACTTATTATAATTCTGCTATCAATATGTATATTAGAAAGCATTAAAAAGTAGGTAATTTATTTTCATGCTGCAGATTATTATTTATCGAGCCGAAATCTTATTTTTTTTTTGTAATAGGTCGGCAAACGAGCAGACGGATTACCTGATGGTAAGCAATCAGCGCCGCCCATGGACACCCGCAACGAAGGAGTTACGAGTGCGTTGCCGACCTTTTAGGGATTCGGGATTTGGAGATTTAGGGATTGAGGAGGGATTGGGGGAGGGGAAGGATTGGGCCTCCGGTAACCTCACTCACACGGTGAAACACAACGCTGTGGTTGTTTCACGCCGGTATTCTGTGAGGCCGTGGTATCACTCCGGTCGAGCCGACCCATTCGTGCCGAAGCATGGCTCTCCCACACTTGATATTCGTAAGAATCCAGCAAAACTAATTAATCCACTCTTTCTTTATAATTTTTTGTCACGCTCATATTAATCTTCTTCTGAATCAGTTTCACTGGAGTTTGATATAGTATCCAACACTTCATTATCACTATCTAAACTCGACATTTTAATTTAATTTTAAACCGGGTCTACCTATATTGTGTTAGAATTTGTTATATTCTCACTGACAATGCTATTATTTAAAATTAATTTACATTTAATATTGACTTTCCCCATAATGGGCATTTTTTTAAACGCCCCACACTAGGATTTTCTCCTGTGTCTTGGGTGCGTTTACAAACATACAATTTCACATATACATACATCAC